TGTTTAAATACTCTGGAGGACATTGTTCCAGACCGCGTCTTTAAACGAGTAAGTACAACACATACAAGAATCAACGACTTCAAGATCAACAAGATTTATGGAAAAGTGGGGAATGAAAATGATGTTGTAGCCTTAGAAAGAGATTGCACGAATTCCACAAATGGTTTGATGACTGGCAAATGCTTTTTAATATTGACAATTGCAAGCCCCTGCATGTGGGGCACAACAACCCGCGCCACAGCTACCAAATTAATAACATTTTATTACAGCAGATTGATGAAGACAAGGACGTTGGAGTCAAAATCCATCACTCAGTGACAGTTGCACAGCAGGTAGGAACAGCAGTTAAAAAAGCTAAGCAAACACTTGGAATAATCAAGCATACCTTCGATTTCAAGGAAAATAAGGTAGTGATTCAATTGTATAAATCTCCGGTGCAGGGATAAATCATTTTGATTATTGTATCCGAGCATGGAGACCTCATCTTCAGAAGGATATAGCTACTCTGGAGAAGTGAAACACCGGGCAACAAAAATATTTCCAGAGCTGTCAACTCACGTATCAGGAACGGTTGAGGGCCACAGGGCTAACAACACTACAAACCAGGCATGACAGGGCGCATCTTATTAAAACGTTTAAAATACTGAACCATTTGGAGGATGTTGATCCAGAACATTTCTTCAAAAGGTCAGGTGTTACACAAACAAGGAGCAACAGTTTCAAGCTCAACAAGCCGCAGTGTAGAACTGAGAACAGGAGATGCTTTTTCAGCCCACAGCGTTAGTAACCCATGGAACCGCCTACCCGCCGAAGTTGTTAATGCCAAAACTCTGTTGGGTTTTGAAATACAGCTGGAAAAGATCATCAAGGCAAATGGGGGTCCTTCGACAAGCCGCCGGCTTCCTGTATTCGTCGAGGCCACTAGTGTTAGTGGCTCTCAGGTAAACCACACTGTAAGACACAAAATACAAAGTGCCTTTTCACTCGTAGGGTTATAAGCCCATAGAACCGACTACTCGACGAAGCTATAAATGTCATCTACGGTTCAAAATACAGCTGAATAAAATAATGAAAAATGGTAGGACCTATGACAAGCTCCAGTCGAGGCCACTATAGACGGTGCTCCACAGGTAAATGACAAAAAACGTTGGCCCCAAGATGGAAATGTGAATTAAAAAAATATGCTGTAGCCTAATATTTCTGACATTTCATTTTTATTACATATGGTAGATTTTTTATTAGGCTCTCCCAGTGAATTGTAACTTGTCTAACAGACCGGAATGGTCCTCTAATTACTCAACACAAAGCTGGTCCTCAAAGCTGCAAATGGTCCTCTAATTACTCAACACAAAGCTGCTATTAGGACAATATCCAATTCTGGCCCCAGACATCACTCGGTACCCCTACTTAAATCTCTGAATATGTTAGACATTAAGTCACTGCACATTCTCTCATGTGTATTATACATATATAAAACGCTAAACTATAATGCCAATCCTGATCTCAAAAGCTTCATAGAAGGTTGTATCAGAACCCATGAGCATCACACCAGAAATAAATACAGTTTTGATATTCCTAGAGTACGACTTAATCAAACTAGAAATGCTCTACAAATCAAGGGGCCCAGAATGTGGAATGACCTTCCCAACCATGTTAAAGACTTTACCTCTCTCAACCAGTTTAAGTTAAAAGCGAAGCTATACCTAATAAATTCCCTGTAACCTACCTTACCCTTCTATTGTCAACCAATGTCTGTTTTTTTCTTTAAAGAGCGCTGTTTGTCGACATAATTGTATTTGTGCTGCTTTTTCATCTATGTTTTCATTTATTGTTTTCATTCTACTCATTATGCTCAATTAGTATTAAGCTTGTCATTTAAGTTTATCATGCCCGAAACGCTTTGCGTAATAGTGGCTTTAGGCATTGTATGTACTAGCTCTACCTATAAGTCAAACAATCCTTGTAAATATTTATTGTATGTATGTACCTTACCTAAATAAAATTGTATTGTATTGTAGACACTGATCCAGACTGTAAAGAAATACGTGTTTTAATTTAGTCTATCCTACGCAAAAGTTATTTAGCACAATGAATCAAAGAAAATTAAATATTTACATAAACTAAAGGATAAACTATTTTATTTTATTATTTGTTTATATACAAGAATTAAGGTATACATGCATTGACTTGAGAAAGTATTGTATACATGAATTGGGGTTTGAGTGTAACATTCTTGCAAAGCCGCTAACACGCATAGCATTTCGGACAGGTCCTTAAACTAAAAAATAAAGGAAAAGAATTTGATTTCAACTTTTGAAGTCGTCGTGGCGCTGTGGTAAAACATTCTCCCGGCGCTTCAAAATGTCATTACAAAAAAGTGTAAGGACAGGTATATACTATATAACTACATATAACCCCATAGTATAACCCCTACTCAAATCTCTGAATATGTTAGATATTAAGTCACTGCACATTCTCTCATGTGTATTATACATATATAAAACGCTGAACTGTAATGCCAATCCTGACCTCAAAAGCTTCATTGAAGGTTGTAACAGAACCCATGGGCACCACACCAGAAACAAATACCTTTTTTTATATTCCAAGAGTACGACTTAATCAAACTAGAAATGCTCTACAAATCAAGGGACCCAGGATGTGGAATGACCTTCCCAATCATGTTAAAGACTGTACCTCTCTTAACCAGTTTAAGATAAAAACGAAGCACCACCTAATTAACTCCCTGTAACCAACCTTACCCCTATAATGTCAACCCATGTCTGTTATTTTTAAACAATGCTGTTTGTCGACCAAATTGTATTTTTGCTGTTTTTCTGCCATGTTCCCCTTTTTTTTATTGTTTCAACACATTTCATACTTTAATCTCAATTAGCATAAGTTTTAGTCTTTTGTGTTTTTCCTGCCCGAAACGCTTTGCGTAATAGTGGCTTTAGGCATTGTATGTACTAGCTCTATCTATAAATTCATCAATATTTATATCACCCCTTGAATGTATGTACTTTACCCGAATAAACATTTGAATTTTGAATTTGAATTTTTTGTTTTCTAATTCGTAGCGTTTAAAACTCAACATTTTGGAAATATGTTATTATTATTAACATCTTTATTGACAAAATTAATTACAATTTTGCCTCATCTGAGGATTTCAATTAAGTCTTATTAAAGTGAGGATAGTGCTGGTATTCACTGTCACGCAGGACAGAGAGTCATACACTTGGAAATATGTAGTCAGATTGGGAGCCGTCGAGTCAGTTGTTGACACAGTAATTGTGGTGACGGAGTTGTCGCTGCCGCAGGAGCACTACCTGGTTAGGCCGTCCTCCAGGTGGGTGTTGTCGCAAGGCCGGATTGCCAGCGTGGAGTTCTCCGGTTGTTGTACTCTGCTGGTGCGGGAGAAGTTATCCTCCCTTACAGTGAAGACGACTACTACCTCAGTCAGCCCTTACAGTGAAGACGACGACTACCTCAGTCAGCCCTTACAGTGAAGACGACGACTACTACCTCTGTCAGCCCTTACAGTGAAGACGACGACTACCTCTGTCAACCATTACAGTGAAGACGACTACTAGCTCTGTCAGTTCTTACAGTGAAGACGACTACTACCTCTGTCAGTTTAGAGTTGTGGCAGCCGGCGGTGAGCGCCCTTGCGGTCACGACGACTCTTGACACACTGCACGTCTCTATATACATGTGGTAACCAATTGTTGGGGAATCGGTGTTACAATTAATAAATGACGACGTATTTGCTGCATTTCTGTGTCAACATTACTAGCAGGTCTTTCCAACTGCCCAATGCAACCGGTGATGTCACTGCATGCAACAAATTAAAACCTTTTAAGAAATATAAACATATCTCTTCTCAAAATATGTTAATGCTCAGTACTCAAATTATTCTTAATTGTTAGATAAAAAAGATTGTTGACCATGAGTGTTATAATTGTAGGAGGTATGTTAGGCTGCGTCTAACACTGGCGACACAAGCGAGCCTAGTCCCAAGGTTTCCGCCAGCCACAGACCCTCCTCACACGACAAATATAACTTCGCTTATAGTGAAGATCCGTGTTGCTAGCACTATGGTGTTTGTGGCATCAGGTGAACATTCAGGTCAATATATGTTTGGTCTCCAAGACTATACTCGATCGAGTTAATATAATCGAAGAACTCTAAAGAAGACATCTTTATTGTTTTTTTTATCATTCATGATAATAATAGTTTTAATATATCCTAATTTTGTTATTATTCCCATTATCAGATGCAAAAATGTGCACTTTGGACATTGCTATATATATATATATATATATATATATATATATATATATATATATATATATATATATATATATATATATAGCAATGTCCAAAGTGCACATTTTATATGCACTTTGTATATGCACAATATATGTATATATTTTTATATGCACTTTATATTTTATATTATTTTATATGTATATATATATATATATATATATATATATATATATATATATATATATATATATATATATATATATATATATATATGTATATATATTATCCAAGATAAATTATGCTATTTTATGAATACGGTATATAATGTAAATGTTGATGTTTTGGGTATTCCCTGTGATCATCCAATACTATAAGCAACAACGATTCCCCGTATTATAATTTTATTTAATTTTCCAGGTCCATTTGTATTATTTTACCATGTAAATATCTTATCCTACGAAACTACCCGTTAGGGATAAGTTTAATGTTGATATCACTTAATATTGCACATTTTCTGCAAATTAGTTGCATATCATTGTAATAACATTCTTTAACCTTGCTATATTAGCCACGTTAACAGTGTGGTAATTATTGCTTTAGATAAAATTAGAACATAATTTTTTGTAAATTGTTTTCCTTGCCTTGAACCAATACGGCGGCCTATGGCAACCGTGCCGGCGTGTGAGTTACCAACCGCAGGGAAAAAGTGGCACTGGTGCCCTTGGTCTGGCACTACACCACGTGACACCCCAGTTGGCACTCGTCTCTGGTGGGTGAGTCTCGCCGTCCTCGGGCCATAACAACCTCTCCTCGCTCTGAACTGCCTTACTGCGATAAAGAGATGCCACGGCCAGCAGTGTGATGTTCTTGGACAGCTGGCCGAGTGCTATGTTTCCATAATTTGCATAAACTAAGATAAATTTCCCAGCGGTAATGAGTGGGAAGGTATATTAGCATGTGACAGTATGTTTTGGCAATGATACTTGCTTCACAGTGTTGTGACGAGAGACGTGTTGCAGCAGGAGTGGTGACGCCCCACACGTGGTCTCCCGCCACCACCAACAACAATATTCATCACATTATTCGTGATCGCTGCGCGGGAAACTCTTGGTTGGATGACGTACGAGTTGTTTCTGGTTCTCTGATAAACTAGTTGTAAATATTAAAAAAGTGTCTGGAATAGTTAAATTGAGATTTATAATTCAATAGTCAGTTAGAGCCCTGCTCCTGTACCCGGTAAGTACATTACGGGCTCACCTTAGCCTGTGTTGCTTGGAACTTTTTGGTCCCAGCAGCTGATTCTAAAAACAACAACAATTCGATGATCAGTGATTATGGAGCCTATGTAAATGTAGTTTGCTTTTCCGCAACTTACTGATAGCCATAAGAGATCAATGTATCTTGCTAAGAATGAAAATGTTTGGGAAAAGTTGGAGTGTATTAGTTCGTGGCAGTAGATTACGTGATATTGAGTCTATATATTGGCCTCGGGGAGATGAACACTGCCATTGGCAATTGACTAAGAACATAGAGGCGTCCGAGACAACGAGGCAACCAAATATAGGACGAGCAAAGCGACACAAGACAAAATTTAAAGAATGTTAAAAATGTTGGTGTATTAAAACCTTCGGGCGCGAAGTTCTTGAGAATAGTGTGGAGCCCCTGGTGTAGGGGCGTGGAGCCCTGGTGTAGGGGTGTGGAGCCCCTGGTGTAGGGGTGTGGAGCCCTGGTGTAGGGGTGTGGAGCCCTGGTGTAGGGGTGAGGAGCCCTGGTGTAGGGGTGTGGAGCCCCTGGTGTAGGGGTGTGGAGCCCTGGTGTAGGGGTGTGGAGCCCCTGGTGTAGGGGTGTGGAGTCCTGGTGTAGGGGTGTGGAGCCCTGGTGTAGGGGTGTGGAGCCCCTGGTGTAGGGGTGTGGAGCCCTGGTGTAGGGGTGTGGAGCCCTGGTGTAGGGGTGTGGAGCCCCCCTGGTGTAGGGGTGTGGAGGGGTGGGGTGTGGAGCCCTGGTGTAGGGGTGTGGAGCCCCTGGTGTAGCCCCTGGTGTAGGGGTGTGGAGCCCTGGTGTAGGGGTGTGGAGCCCTGGTGTAGGGGTGTGGAGCCCCTGTAGGGGTGGTGTGGAGCCCTGGTGTAGGGGTGGAGCCCTGGAGTAGGGGTGTGGAGCCTGGTGTAGGGGTGTGGAGGGTGTAGGGGTGTGGAGCCCCTGGTGTAGGGGTGTGGAGCCCTGGTGTAGGGGTGTGGAGCCCCTGGTGTGGAGCCCTGGTGTAGGGGTGTGGAGCCCTGGTGTAGGGGCGTGGAGCCCTGGTGTAGGGGCGTGGAGCCCTGGTGTAGGGGTGTGGAGCCCCTGGTGTAGGGGTGTGGAGCCCTGGTGTAGGGGTGTGGAGCCCTGGTGTAGGGGTGTGGAGCCCTGGTGTAGGGGTGTGGAGCCCTGGTGTAGGGGTGTGGAGCCCCTGGTGTAGGGGTGTGGAGCCCTGGTGTAGGGGTGTGGAGCCCTGGTGTAGGGGTGTGGAGCCCCTGGTGTAGGGGTGTGGAGCCCTGGTGTAGGGGTGTGGAGCCCCTGGTGTAGGGGTGTGGAGCCCTGGTGTAGGGGTGTGGAGCCCTGGTGTAGGGGTGTGGAGCCCTGGTGTAGGGGTGTGGAGCCCTGGTGTAGGGGTGTGGAGCCCCTGGTGTAGGGGTGTGGAGCCCTGGTGTAGGGGTGTGGAGCCCTGGTGTAGGGGTGTGGAGCCCCTGGTGTAGGGGTGTGGAGCCCTGGTGTAGGGGTGTGGAGGGGTGTGGAGCCCTGGTGTAGGGGTGTGGAGCCCCTGGTGTAGGGGTGTGGAGTCCCTGGTGTAGGGGTGTGGAGCCCCTGGTGTAGGGTGTGCAGCCCTGGTGTAGGGGTGTGGAGCCCTGGTGTAGGGGTGTGGAGCCCCTGGTGTAGGGGTGTGGAGCCCTGGTGTCTGGTGTAGGGGTGTGGAGCCCTGGTGTAGGGGTGTGGAGCCCCTGGTGTAGGGGTGTGGAGCCCCTGGTGTAGGGGTGTAGTGGTGTGGAGCCCCTGGTGTAGGGGTGTGGAGCCCCTGGTGTAGGGGTGTGGAGTCCCTGGTGTAGGGGTGTGGAGCCCCTGGTGGTGTGGAGCCCCTGGTGTAGAGGTGTGGAGCCCCTGGTGTAGGGGTGTGCAGCCCTGGTGTAGGGGTGTGGAGCCCTGGTATAGGGGTGTGGAGCCCTGGTATAGGGGTGTGCAGCCCTGGTGTAGGGGTGTAGTGGTGTGGAGCCCCTGGTGTAGGGGTGTGGAGCCCCTGGTGTAGGGGTGTGGAGCCCCTGGTGTAGGGGTGTGGAGCCCCTGGTGTAGGGGTGTGGAGCCCCTGGTGTAGGGGTGTGGAGCCCCTGGTGTAGGGTGTGGAGCCCCTGGTGTAGGGGTGTGCAGCCCCTGGTGTAGGGGTGTGGAGCCCCTGGTGTAGGGGTATGGAGCCCCTGGTGTAGTGATGTGCAGCCCTTGGTGTAGTGGTGAGGAGCCCTGGTGTAGGGGTGTGGAACCCAAGAGTAGTGGTGTGGAGCTCTGGAGAAGTGATGTGACCGTGTGGAGCTCAGAAATAGTGGCGCGGAGTACTGATGTGGAACCCCAGAGCAGTTATATGAAACCTGAAGTCAATCCGTCCTCAGGACAGGCTCGTTAATACAGCGGCCGTCCCCTTAAGACGCACCCATAAATTTTAACGCATTGTGTAATAATTAAAAAAATAGGTTTGCTCCTATATTGAAATTAAATTTTTTATTCATTTATTCATCATTTAATATGTATCTTCAGGTGAAGGTTAGGTTAGGTTGTTAGGCTTCATTGGCGATTATTTGTATTAAAAGTACGTGGATGAAGCATTAGATCTAGGTATCCCCATCTCTACTGTCAAAACTGTATTGGTCCAAACACTCAGGTCTGACAGGAAAGAAATTACTGACTCCCAACGACCTGAAAGTACTAGTATTAAAAGCTATGATTTGTTCAGATCTGAAACCTACATCTATGGGCAGCACAAAACGTCCACCAGACTGTGCGACACAGTGGTTGCCAGGATCAGGTTGGGTTACCGTTACCTGTGGCAGGTGGCTGCAGGTGACGGGTCTCCCAATCTTGAGCACTCCAGATGCAAACTCTGTGAGCAGGAACTGCGGCATGATCTCCCACATTACATCACCGAATGCCCAGCTATTAGACCTATCAGACCAGTTGGCATGAGGTACCTGGAGCTTTGCAATTACTTTATTTACTCTCGTATTCTTGAAGATATCCTCACAGTATACCCAAAATTTGCCAGTGCAGGCTACTAAACATATGGCCCTGTATGACTAACCATCCTGCGAGATGGGGGCTTTTATTACCACTGCTACCTTATTCAATCTTGTGTTGATGATATCCTCAAAATGCATCCGGAGTCTGCCAGTGCAGACTGCTTACCACATGCCTCTGTATGACTAACCATCCTGTGTGATGGGGATTTTTTAGCATCACATAGTTAGCATTTTTGACACACTGTACTCCACCTCATATAGTCTAGGGCAGCTGCAGTAATGCAGATATACCTCATGTATTAAAAAAAAAATTGCACAGTTGCGATTCCAGCAGAGGTGATCAGTGTACCACTGTTTGAGAAATGTCCGAACTTCGTCGGTTATGAGTCGTGTGTCAACCGTTTTTCATTCAGGGTGTTTTAGGCGGAGGAAGGTTAGGCTAGGTGTTTAGGTTCTTTCGGCGATTATTTGTATTAAAAGTATGTGAGGTGAAGCATTTACACAGTTGCGATTCGAGCAGAGGTCATCACCGAAGTACTGTTCGGGAAATGTTCGAACGTCATTGAGTTATGAATCCCGTATAAACCGTTTTAATTCAATAAACAAAGGGGTTTGGCGGGTGGATTAACGAGCATGTTGCCTTTGTTGACGAGGACGGGCAGGAGAACACGCTCGCCTCACGTAGAGGTGGCTCCCTTATACGGCCTTAATATTTATTCATAGATTCATCATGTTATTGAGCATTACATTATTCACTTAAATAATGACCTTGAAACATGTGATGTGTAGAAGATTAGACAATACTACAGTCTGGTCTTAAACATTGGCTTAATGTCCTCAGACAAAATAATTTAATTAGCAGTATATAAATTATGTAATCAATAACCCTTTATCTCTCTACTATTAATAAGAACATCGGAATTAGAATTAGAACTAAAATGAACGTGAAATTTCTAAATGAGTGTTGGTTATTTTACGTGATATGTTAGTTGAAAATAGTGTTCATAAGTGAACATCTATAGCAGAAGTGACAGTCACAAGAGCAACAAGATTCATTGAGAGTTGCAGGAATATCAAGTTTTACTGGATTTTGAGGAAGAGCGTGAGCGGCATTTTCCTCTCGTGAGTATACATTTTCATTTATTTTATTTTACCTTTGTTTTGTGGATGTGTTTGTGCGAAATACAAGGAATTTCTATGTAATTTTGTCCCTTCTTCTCTTAGGCAGACATATACCAAACAAGTTCAGGTTCAAGTTAGTTTATTGAGACAAGAAAAAAAAAATACATCTCAAAGGGATAGAGTAGCTTAGGCTATTTCAACCCCCCTAATATCCCAAACAACAAGATATAAGGTCTAGTTATCTTTTATGTTTGTTCGAGTCAAGACTTACAAAATACAAGTATAATATGTTCGTTATAACCAAACATATGACAGTCAAAACAGAGCGCGTAATTTAGTTATAAGATACAAATTAATAATACTGGACCTTCTACATAACAAATGCAATCTGATCCATTTTGTATCTTATCAGTTATTTAATATCATTATTATTCTTACTCTTATTGAGGAAATTATCACAATGCCGTAGTGTTTGAGTGAAGGTGAAGGACAGACCAAATGTATGTGTAAGTGAAATAAAAACTAAATTTTCGTATGCAGGCGATGAGTCACAATAACACACTAGAAGGTGAAGGGACGACGACGTTTCGGTCCGTCCTGGACCATTCTCAAGTCGATTGTGCATACGAAAATTTTCGTACGTAACCCGCCTCCTTTCTCAAGGTGCTGTAAAGAATGTTTTGGTTTAATATTGTCTTACAGCACCTTGAGAAAGGAGGTAGGCTATAACATCCGAAAATTTGTGTTTTAATACACCTCCACATGTATATTGGGTGTTTCCTTCACCTTCAATATTATTATTTCTTACATTAGCCTTCACTATTGGTATCATTATTATTTATTGTATTAGTCTATCCTGCACTTCTTATGAAGTAACTAATATTATCTTTATATTTCCACAATGCACAGTATACAAGTGTGGCGTGGTACGTGGATACCAGAGGTTATCCGGGTTTACCAGAGGTTATCCAGGTTTACGACGGGTTATCCAGGTTTAGGATAGGTTATCCAGGTTTAGGAGAGGTTATCTAGGTGTACGAGAGGTTATCCAGGTTCGATCCCTGGCGAAGGGGGGGGGGGGAGTCTGCTAGTCACCGTTCCTCCACTGGAGGAGGGTGTGCATCCACCAGTAATTGGATACCTTATCAGGTGATTAACGGATCATGTTGTGTGGATAAACAATTAGGGTAAAGCTTCAGATGACCTGTTGGGGGGAGAGTTGTTAGCTTCTACACAAGTCAGAAGTTAACCAAATATATAACCTCGATCCCCGGGGATGATCTGCTATCTTTATAAACAAGCAAATGACGTCACGATGTATTCACTCACTTGAGCATAACCTCGGCTTGTGTGACCGCTTGTATAAGACTTTATTGTTGATATTCTCAGGTACTCAACACTGCTGTGCTCGTAGTGTATGGGAGAGGCTACTCAGTCTTAGGTCAAGAGCTGAATTACATATATGATTGATTGTACGGCCAGTTGGTCACATTGATTGTACGGCCAGTTGGTCACATTGATTGTACGGCCAGTTGGTCACATATTGATTGTACGGCCAGTTGGTCACATATTGATTGTACGGCCAGTTGGTCACATATTGATTGTATGACCAGTTGGTCACATACAGCCCTGCTCCTGAGCCAGGTAAGTCCACTACGGGCTCACCATAGCCCGTGCTACTTGGAACTTTCTGTTCCCAGTAGCTGAATCTAAAACAAAAACAACAACAGCCAGTTGGTCGAATTATGGTACTTTTCTCTGTCATATCCATTTTATATTTCTCTCTCACACACACACACACACACACACACACACACACACACACACACACACACACACACACACACACACACACACACACACACACACACACACACACACACACACACACACACACGCACATACACACACACACACACACACACACACACACACACACACACACACACACACACACACACACGTCCTGAGGATGCAGCTCGTACCAGCTGTCTAATTCCGATGTACATATTTTACTGCTAGGTGAATAGAGGCATCAGGTGAAAGAAACGCTGTTCATTTGTTTCTGCCTCAATCGAGGCAAATCTACTGCAGTTGTTCCCAAACCCTTTATTTCTTGAACTGTTTTGAAAACTATGGAGGAAAATCGCCTTTTTCTCTTTAGTTCCTTCAACTTGCTTTCAGTCTTAGAGTAAATAGTTGTGTCCTGACATCTCTGCAGCTCCTCCAGCTCCCCCACGGGTCCTCCCCACATTACTCTCTCCGCTGCATGATACACCAGGAGCGGTTGTTGTTGTTATAGATTCAGCTACTGGGAACAAAAATTGCAAGTAGCACGGGCTATGGTGAGCCCGTAGTGGTCTTACTTGACACAGGAGCGGGGCTGTAACTACTACCCATGAGCGTTTTATGTCTTATCATGTACCCCTTGTTTCTCCTTTCTCCTTGTGTGTCTTTAGGGTCAGCTTTCTTAGTCAATCTCGTAGCCCAGTCCCCTAAATACTAGTTTCAGACCATAATCATGATAGTTACAAACCTCTATATTTTCTTTGCTTTCGTCCGAGGCATTTTGATTGGAGGGCTCCACGCAGGTGCTGCATACTCTAGCTCTTGTGAAACATGCTTTATGTAGCGCTGTGAAGGCATCCTTGGCTCGGCCCCTGAAGGCTGTCCTGGCCAGCTCAACACGTTATGCTGATGTGATTATGTGACTCGTGAGGATGGTTGAGTGTTGTGTCTGCCCCAACATGCTTCTCTCTCACTCACCCTCGTAACTTCCTCTATTATATAGTGTTCCTCGGACCTTATTCCTGTTTGCGTCCTAAGGATCTTGCACTTATCTGCGTTGAAACCCAGTAACCATTTATGAGACCATAACTAACTTATCAAAGTCTTCTTGGAGCCTCCTGCACTTTCCGCTCGTCCTAATTGCGACTCTAAGTCTAACAAACAGTGACATAAGTGTCTAATTCATTGTATACAAGGAAGAGCATGGGGGCCGGCACTGATCCTCGTGGCACTCCACTAATGGCATTCCCCATTCTCATTTTTTGCCACTTTTAGTTATTTTCTTTCCTATTTGTTAGGAAGTTTTCACCCAATTCAACGGACTGCCAGTTGTGTAGGTCGTACGTGAGCCTTTAGTGCATAGCCTCGACACCTGGCCAGGCGTGATCAGCATCAGTATAAATGTAGCAGACATGGGACCGACAAACATACACAATCAATACAGAAGGAAAATTACGTTAGATATTTATGGTAGCACTGAGAAGGTCTGGTATACCAGGTGTAGTTTTGCTGTAGCTCCCCAGCCCAGCCCTTTGTTCTTGGTGACACACACACACACACACACACACACACACACACACACACACACACACACACACACACACACACACACACACACACACACACACACACACACACACTAATTAACTAACTACACTCAGAGTAGTTAACAGGTGGAATGCATTAGGCAGTGATGTGGTGAAGGCTGACTCCATACACAGTTTTAAATATAGATATGATAGAGCCCAGTAGGCTCAAGAATCTGTACATCAGTTGATTGACGGTTGAGAGGCGGGACCAAAAACCCAAAGCTCAACCAAATTTCAGTACATTAGTCACATCTATTGTTGTCCTTAATGCCCAACATCAACAACCTATCATTAGTAGGGAGGGTCTCGTGAATATAGCGATACAATTGCTCACGTTGTTTTGGGGCAATAAATTTAACATGAAGGTTCGCCCATATTACTTGCCAGCTAAAGAGTGGATATGCCTCCTCTACTCTAGGAACTATATTTGGTAGTATAACATCATACACTTGTTTACTGTTCATCATTACAAAATCTTCAATATTACAAATCCGCCTGAGAACATCAATTGCACATGAATAAAAGTGCGGTGAAATAAAGGCAAGGTCAGTATACTCTGGCATATGTATCAAGTAGCTAACACGTAATTTACAATAATAATGTCCTAGCGTATTTACACTATTCCTTTGAGTCTCACACACACACACACACATATACAAGAAGGGGGATAGACAGGAGGCACTGAACTACAGGCCAGTGTCCCTAACCTGCATACCATGCAAGCTGATGGAGAAGATTGTGCGACAAAAGCTAGTGGAACATCTGGAGCGAAAGAACTTTGTAACACAGCATCAACATGGGTTCAGGGATGGCAAGTCCTGCCTCACAGGAGTAATTGAATTCTACGACCAGGCAAGAAAGAGAGGGTGGGCAGACTGCGTATTTATGCATTGCCAGAAAGCCTTTAACACACTACCACACAAGAGGCTAGTGAAAAAGCTGGAGATACAGGCAGGAGTGAAAGGGAAGGTACTCCATTGGATAAGGGAGTACCTAAGCAACAGGAGACAGCGAGTCAGTGTGAGGGGTGAGGTCTCAGATTGGCGAGACGTTACAAGTGGAGTCCCGCATGGGTCAGTCCTTGGACCTATACTGTTTCTGATATATGTAAATGATCTCCCAGAGGGTATAGAATCGTTCCCACTCATTGTTTGCTGATGATGAAAAAATTATGAGGCGGATTAAAACAGAGAATTTAGCCTCCTAAAAAACTTGTAGGAGGCTACAAGATGACGTAGACAGACTGAATGAATGGTCCACCAAGTGGCTACTAAAGTTCAACCCGAGTAAATGCAAGGTCATGAAACTAGGCGGTGGAAACAGGAGGCCGGACACAGGATACCAAATGGGAAATTAAGTACTTCATGAAACGGACAGAGAGAAAGATCTACAAGTTGATATCACACCAAACCTGTCTCCTGGAGAAGACAGGTTTGAATAAAAAACATAAAAAGAATTACATCTGCGGCATATGCGAGGCTGGCTAACATTTAGAACAGCGTTCAGGAACCTGTGTAAGGAATCCTTCAGAACCTTGTATACCACATATGTAAGACCAATCCTGGAGTATGCGGCCCCAGCATGGAGCCCGTACCTTGTCAAGCACAAGACGAAGCTGGAAAA